TTTATACCCATATGCTCAGTAATTCCAGTCTGGAAAATTTCTCCATGGGATATAATCTGAGATTAGCACAATGGAGTATGAACAGAGATGTTAAAAGTGGCAAGTGATTGAAATATTTAGAAGTCAAGAATTACTTAAGCAAACCATTATAATCCATTCCATACAATTTTTAACATTAAAGTTGTGATGTAATTATGAAAACCAGGTAGAAATAAGAAAAATGCTTACGGTATATTTTATAAAAACATACATTCAACATGACTACAACTATGTAGAAAATGTTTTAAAAACATTAGAAGAAAATACGTCAAGATGCCGTTCCTTTGTTCTTTTCTCTAGTTTCTAAGTTTCTGCAGCGTATATTACCGCAATTATATCGCCTTTACAAATAGACTTGAAAATAACTCACTTCCCTTCTAGAGGAGCGATGTTCAGTGCAAAGCCGCACTCTGCCCCAGAAACAGTTTTCAGACCTGGTCTTTTTTTCTTTCCGGGGGCTGCATCGAGCAGTGTGTCACTTCTTGCCCCATATTGTCTGTGCCATTTCAGATGCTGTCCTCATGATTCTCCAGTTATTTACTATGTTTATATCTTTCTCCACAACTGCTTAAATTTTTTTTTAATGAGGTAAAATATATAAAACATACAATGAGCCATTTTAACCACTTTTAAGTGTACAGTTCAGTGGCATTAACATCTACATTGTTTTGTAGCCATCGCCACCATCCATCTCTGGAACTTTTTCATTTTCCCAAACTGGAACCCTGTCCCCATTAAACCCTAATTCCCACTTACCCCCTCCCCCCAGCCCCTGCCAACTACCATCCGCTTTCTCACTCCCTGAATTTGACTCCTCTCTATTCCTCATATAAGTGGAATCACACAAGGACCAAGTCCCTGGTTTGTTTTCATGTTAAACATAATGTTTGTTTGCTCATTTGTTCAGTGTTCACTGTGCTAGGCAGAGGGTTAAGCATTGCTCAAGAAACACATGTGGTCTCTGAGGCTGACAGGGCAGAGGGGCAGAGGTAACAAGGAAAAACACAGAGAAGAAAGCACGAGAGTATGAGAAGTGTGAAAGCGTGGTCACAGAGAACCCCTGCAGGGCCTTCTGGAAAGTCTAGGTGTTGTAGGATGAATGGGAGAGTGGGGTCTGGGAGGAAAGCTGAGGAGCCAACTGGGTCCAGCAGACGGAGCTGGAGTGGGGCACACGGCCTGAGGAGGGGAAGCCTTCGTGAGTTGTGTGTGAGTGGTGTGTGCCACATGCAAGGGGCCTGGGAGAGATGGCAGGCCTGGGGCGCCCCAGGAGAGAACAGGAATGTGTTCTAGGTGCAGTGGGGGGTTTTCAGGGGGCCCACTTTTCCCTGCCTGGTCTGCGAGGAGGGAAGGAATGCCCTGGGTTTGGCTGAGCACACAGCCAAGATGCAAAGCAGGCCACTCACGTCACCAGCAGGACCTCCTGGGCCAGGCACCGGGAGAAGACCTGTTTGTGACAGCAAGGCTGAGGCACAGACCAGTGTGGCCTCTCCCTCTGCCAGAAACGGCTAGTGGGCACAGCCCATGCCTGGAGCCACCACTTTGTTCTGTGTCTGTCCACAGCTGCTCAACTGTGTATACAGTGTCTGGCCTACAACAGGAGGGTGATTGTTATCTTACCACTTTGTAGTAGTTGAAACAGGCTTAGGGACAAGAAGCCGCCTGCCCAAGGTCGAGAAGCAAGTAAGTGGCAGAGGAGTAAACGTGTGGGGAGCACATGAAAACATGTCTGACCCCGTCCCACCTCCATCACTCCTCCCAGCAGCCTGGAGGGAGCTTTTTTACTGCTTCACTGGGCTCTGGGAAGAGAGGAGGAGGCCCGTGGGTGGGGAAGGGCAGGGAAGCGGGGAGCAGGGCCCACCACAGAAGATGAAAAGAGGATTCTAGTCTCTCCAAACCGCACTCAATAGTGCTTTCTTGTGCTTCTTTCTTAAAGCCTTGTCTTGACCCTACTTACTGTAAATGCTATGTTACAGCCTGTTTTTTATTTGCATAAACATTCTCTGACCTGTGTCTTAGGACCACTATTTCTGAGCTTTGAATAATTGTCTACCAAGTAAATGGGCCACAATTTATTAAAATTCCTTTTTAACTGTCGATTGTTTAGGCTGTTTCCAGTATTTCTAAAATGCATAAATAATACTAGTAACACTGATGGTAATATTTCCTGAGGATTACCTTCCAGACTGGGTTTCAAATGCCTGAGCAGTTTCTCTGGTCTGGTCCACAGTGTCTCAGGAGGCTGTGGGCATGCCAGGGAGGTTGAGGACAGAGCCCAGGTGACACCACATCTGTGTTTGTCAGTGATCACAGAGATGGGTAGTTTGTCCCAAACAGATGGGTAGGGGTGAGGGGTGGGGGAGCTCCTGGAGAGGGGAGGGCCGCCCTATATAACATCTCGCATAAAAGGGCAGGTGTGCAGGGGGGACGTGAGGTGGTGGCAGCTCTGCCTGACTCCCTCTACTCATGCGTGGTGATTGCCCGCCCCAAGAGGTCCCCCAGTCCCTCCTTAGGCCATTACCTTTAACTGTCCTGGGAAAGAGTCCAGGGCTCAGGATTCTGTACACATTTTGAATCCAGCCCCTTCTGAAGGGCAGCCCCAGAATCCATAACTGTCGCAGCAAACCCCAGGCACACAGACAGAGGCTTGTGGCTGGCTTGCGGTTGGTGTGATCATGCTGGAGTCAGAGACTGGCTGCCCTGACAGGTGCCACCTAGCATATAGCACAGGTGGGAAAAGCCCAGCACGAAGTGGCTGTCCTGAGGCTCTAGGAGAGACCCCAGCCCCGGGAGCCTCCACTGGGCTCAGCCTTTTATGGCTGATGACCCTGGGTCAGACGCTCTTAATAAGAAACCAACAAAAATGTCTGCAGAGGCAAATCAGGAGCAGAAAAGTGCTGTGACCTGTTCCTGGCTGCTGCTCCAGGCCTGAGTGGTCAGCAGACCATTCTCAGGGGTGTGGGCCACTTCCTTCCTAGCGGTGCAACCCCTGCCCCTCCGCCCCTGCCCTCTGGCCTTCCCCTGACTATCAGGCTGCCTGACTCAGCATCTGTCAGCCCCTCCCGAAGACACACCTGTGGAGAGCAGCTGCAGACCCTGTCCTCAGGAAGGGGGCACAGGCACAACTTCCTCGTGAATGGGTGGACGTCCACAGCAGGAGCTCTTGGAGGAAAACATCCAAGACAGCTCCCCCAAGCTTTGATAAATCTGTAGACCAAGCAGGCTGAGGCCCCCATGTTTTCAGGGGTTTTTAAAGAAAGTGTCATTTATCTTATATTGATTGATATAGCCTTGAAAACTCGGGAGAAAGTGTGGTCTTGTGGGGGAAGGGCCTGCGTTACCTTCTTAGCACTGCCCCTGTTAGAGGAGTCCGTCTGAGCTATGGAGGGAAGAGGCGGTCACACCTGCCCCCATGTAACCAATCAAACCCCCCCATGGTGTGGCAGGGTGATGGAATTATAAAGCCAATGTGCTCCTCCCAATACATACAAAAAAGAGCAACTCTCAAATTGTGACTTTCTTGCAAACAATGGAATCTTTTGAAAATCTGTGGCATGTGCGGATTTGTAAATGAAGAGTAAACAGAAACCCCTGATGGATTCATAATGACAGCATTGAAAGCAGCAGTGGTTCTCTGCCAAGGGAACACCAACAGGCGGAAGGGTGGCCATCAACTGGGTGCCTGAGACCTGTCACGTGGGAAGAACCCCAACGCGCCTTCTTGACTTTGTGCATGCACGCCTTACTTTGTCACTGTTGGGTGTGAAGTATAGTAGCTAAAAATACCCACTTGCTAAAAAAAGTAGATCAGGTTTAAGATTATTCCTATAAAATACAGGGTCACCTGTTCACCTGCACTGTAGCAGGCTTCCTTGGTGAGCTGGAAAGGGGTGGAGGACAACTGGCACACGGGGGATTGGCCATGCTCAGGGTTACATGCAGACAGCACTGGGAATTCTGGGCCCACAAAAGGTCGTCTGGATGCCTTAGTGATTCCAGGTCATCTTGGTTAGTGATTCAAAAGTGTAAGCAGTCAAGTGTAGCTTTGAGTAGACTTGCTTTTGAGGGGTTCTTGGAAGCTTGCAGGGACTTACTTTGAGAAAAACCCTTTCTGGTAGAATTAGTTAAATGTGAAAGAAGGGTTGCCCAGAGATTGTGAGTTCCATGTCACAGGAGGTATTTCAATGTGGCAAGATTGTCATAAATGGTGATCAAGTATTGTTCTGGAGGCTGAATTAAATAGATGTTAAATTCCTTTCCCAACATTGAGATCCATTACTCTAAAGGATCAGATTTTACCAGTTGCAAAAATTTTTTGATTTTAGTTGCCATTTGCTGCTGCTTCAGGCACATCTAGAGCAGAGAAGAGCCCATGGGATGGTTTCTATGCAGGTCTCATGAACTCTGGGCTTCACAGGGTGATAAACTTGTGTGGAATCAAAGATGAAGCTGCTCTTGCTCTTGTCCCCATGGGTGTGGGTAGAAGACAGGACATTTCACCAGGCATCATCCGGTACTGGTATTTGGGTAAAATCTTATTGCGGCTGTTTGCTCTTCGGCCTCGGCGACTTGGTGGAGTTTAGGCTTAGAATCCTGTTTGTAAAAGGCAAGAGTGCGTATGTGCATAGGGGTTAATTGAAAGAATGCCAGTGAAACGTCACAGTACCAAGTGCATAACAAGTGCTTAATAAATGGAGATGATGATTGGCAAGGGAAGGCAAATATCAATAAACAAAGTGTGAAGATATGGGTCATCTGGTCACTTTAAACTTTAAGTGAGATTGGATGTGGGCACCCCCTTCTCTGAAAACAAGTAGAAAGGTGAGTGTGTGTGAGTGTGTAATCAGATTCACAGACAACTTTTTAAAATCAATGAATAAAGTAGATAATCTCAGTTATATTTTGGAAAATTTAAACTTATTTTTATTGTTTGTCATTTGATGATTTTTTTTTCCCTTTCAAAGGAGATTTTGCAGCTGCAGGAGCTGCTGTTGAGCTCACTTCTGCAGGTAAGATGCCTTCAAATGGCCCTGGACACAGAGAGGAGAAACCGTCAGAGCAGCTAGAGATGGCAAGCCTGTGATGATCAGAGCCAACATGTAAGAGTGAAGTTCTGTTCAAGTATGAAATAGCTACAGCCTTAAAAAACATTATTTTCTTATTGTCAAACCATCTTTCTTTTTAGAGAAAATCTAGGATATAGTGAAGCAAAGAAGAGGAAAATAAAACAGTCCTTTAGTCCTATCCCCAAAGATACAACTGACAACCTCTACTGTATCGCCTTCCAGATTCTCTCTCTCTTACAATTGGGGCCATACTTTAGTCTAATAATATTCTGTGCCTTTTAAAAAACAGTCTTTTCTTGTCATTATACATTCTTCATATCTATCTATCTATCTATATATAGAGAGAGATAAAATTGAAACTGCTTTATTGTTTTGTCTGGCTATAAATGTAATACACAGATGGAAGACATGCCCATGCATAAACAAGAAGGTGAAAATCACCTGTAATCTGCCACGCCCCCCAACCCCTGTAACAGTCAGAGTTATAATTTTGGCATGTACTCTGACTATTCTTTCTAATGCATGTTTCTTGCACACAGCTAATTCCCCTCCCTTCCAAGATTGGGTTCATATAACATATAATGTTTTATAACACACAGCTAATTCCCCTCCCTTCCAAGATTGGGCTCATATAACATATAATGTTTTATAACCTGCTTTTTAAATTTAAAAATACATTGTGAATATCTTTCCAGTTATTAATATTCTTGTACAGCATTATTTCAATAGCTCTCATTATATAATATGGTGCATTCTCATTTATTTCACTGAATACTTAGGTTTTTTGCATGTTTTCAGTATGCTCACAGTAATGTGATGCATGTTTTTGCCATTAATAATCCTTGTGCATAACCATAATAACCTTTTCATGATAAATTCATAGAAGTAGAATTGCTGGACCAAAAAATGTGCACAACTTTAAGGCTCTTGATACTATAACCAATTGCCCTTCACCATGGCAGCACAGTCTGCACTCCCAGCAACAGAATGCGAATGGGCTCCTTTATTCACACACTCATCTACCTGAAATATTATATCTGGTGAATAATTTTGGTGATCTGTAAAATACATTTCTAAAATGCACTCCTTTTTTGTATATTTGTTGTCTAAACAACTCCAATCTATATTAGAAACAAGTCTATATTTAATTTTTATTAGAGTTTATTATTCATTAAATTACCAACCTCTGGCTTCTTTCTTTCAGTATATATATTTTTAAAACATTCACTTGTTTAAACCACCTGGAAATTCTTTTGGTCTGAAATGTGAAGGGCTAAAACTTAAATTTTTTTCAAATAGCTAACCAATTGGTTCAGCACACTTTATCATATAATTCACCCTTTCCCCATGTGTGTAAATGCCACCTGTATCATGTAATCCACATATTCTAGTGGGTTTATTCTTATGTCACTTAATTTTAATTATTGAAATCAGGAATTGTAAGTTGACCAGTATATACCTAGTAGCTGATAATCTCACTGTGGGGAAGAGGCTCTAGCCTTGGAGAAAGTAAACCTTTCTGATTCTAAAAAGATGGGTGAGTCTTATTCCTCCATCTCTGCAATTTACCCCTCTGCTAAGACCTAAGGATGGGGAAAACAGGACGTCCTCATGGCCAGGAAGCAGGAATCTAGAATTCAGAACAAGGCTAACCAGCAATGAAGCCCTGGGGTCACAGTGAAAAACAAGATCCACCTTAGGGATTCTGACACTTTGGAAGTCAGCTAAGTTCTGGGACCCTCATAAGAAATTAAAAACGAAGAGTTTGGGGCACTCTGAAAATACTGTTCTCAAGCTTTTAGATCAATAAATAAATCCATAGAGTCACACCTCAGTTAAGTCAATGACCTCGCCGTCCCTGTGCTTGAAATACCAGCTTTTTAAATGTAGGAAATAATAATATGTTTAGCCACTTTAATAACAAATTCTACTTCTGTGAAAAAAAGAGGTACAAATTAGTGTAAATAGTGCTTTCTTATCTAACCCTACTTCTGAGCAAGCTGGGTATTCACACCACAAACCCAGTCAGGACAATGCACCTCAATCCGGGGTGGTGAACTGTACTTTTAGGCAAAAATAGAGAAAATAAATTACCTGGACTGGCTGGAACACTAAAAATAGAAAGTAAGAGGTGATACATCAGATTAGATAAAGGACACAGTAACATCATTTTTATGCTGTTCACACAAACCGGCTTGGGTGGGGCAAGTGCTGGACGCTAATAGGTGGCGCAAGGTTTCTTCCCCACCTCCCATTCCGTTGCTGGGCTCCCCGTATTTCCTGCTTCCTTTGTGGGTAATAGCTTCATAAACTGCCCGCAGATCCTTTTGGAACTAGGTAGTGCAAAAATAAATAAAAATACAATTCTTAGGTGCTTTCCAATGTAGTGTAAAGTTGAATTTTAGTATTCAATTTAATAAAAATGAAAAGAGGAATTATTTTGTTTTAATCTCTCATCACTTTTTTCAGGGGTGGTTTTGCTTTTTCGCACTCATGCCCGATGCTGGCAGCCAGGTGGGTGTCGTCAGTGGCACTTGCCTACACAGGAGGTCACAGCTGCTCAGCTACAGGCAGGTATATGGTTTTCTGATTACTTGCTTTGCAAAAGTCGGATCATGTTTTAACTACTCAAGAAGCATTCCTGGCAATCTCCCCAAATCATTCTTTTAAGTCATTCTTTTGATGGCTGCATGATATTTTAGGGTGTGTGTAGATCACAATTTATTTAGTGATTCCCTATTGATGAACTTGGGGTTGCATCCAGTTTTTGTTTTGCCCAAATGAAATTGACATAATCATCTTTGTATATATATTCTTACATAATAATGCTTTTACTTTATAGGAGACATATTCTTGGGAGTGCTGAGTTAGAGTATGTGATTCATTATTAGGTTTTGCAAACTGTTTTCCAAAAGGCTGTAGTGTCTCATAATACCATCAGCAACCCCTGTTGGGTGTCCTTGTCCACATCTTCTCCAGGATTGAGTGGTATCACTCTTTTATGTTTTCACCCACCCAGTGACATGTGTATGCAAATAACACATCTCCATTTTTCTGGGAAATTTTTTTTTTTTTGGTCAAATGTGGTTTTTGTTCAACTGACAAGCACTTTTCTACAGCTGCACTTGTGGAACATAAAAAAATGGAATACTTCATGAATTTGTGTGTCATCCTTGCACAGGGGCCATGTTAATCTCTGTATTGTTCCAATGGAAAATGTGTTTTTAACTTCAAGTGAGTCACAACTCATTTTATGAAGGTGAAATTTTGGTGCAGAGGTTATGGCAGGAGAAATGAAAAGCTGTGGATCAACCTTCCTTTCTTAAACACACAAAAGGTCGTAATTTAGTTTGGATACAAAAAGCAGGGCAGGGAACAGGGAACAGGACAGAGATTTTGAACTACCATCAGCAGGTGTGCAGGCTCAGCAGTCTGCTGAAAAGGCCCGTAGTCACAATAACCAGGAATAGTTTACAAGGCAAACACCCCTGCCCCAGCCTCAAGTGGCATGGGCAGGAGCACACTCACTCTGAGATGACGCAGATAAAATCCCAATAGTATTATTCCCTTTGCCAGTGAACGATATGCTCCACATGTGCTGGGTAAGCAGGAGGAGTCCTGACAGAGGAAGATGTGAGGAACCACTGGGGCAAGGACGGGCCTGGCTCTGAGCCCAGGGAGCCTTTCTCTTGCCTCCTTCAAAGCCCACAACGCAAGATGCACTGCCAAACACAGGATTCTGCAGTTCTGGTGAGGTGGGCTTTGAGTGGGGGTTCTAGGAAGGCACTTCATTTCCACAAAGGCCTGCTTGCCTTGGAAGTCACCCTTCCCCCCAATTCCCAAACCAGAAGCATTTGTGTGGCTGTAGGGTGAGTCTTCCACTGCTCTTTGCTCCCTAGCCCCAAGCTGGCTGAGGCCTGGAGTGGGTGAGGGTGGCGGGTCAGGACTCCTGGCCTCCTTTCTGTCTGATCTGGTCCTACCCAGCCAGCAGGTCTAGCCAAGCAGCTAGCTCCTGGCCCACAGGATGCTGAAGGGGTGCTGGGGAGGGGTGTGTGGGGGAAGGTGGGCCTCTGCATCCCCACCAACACTTCAGATCTTCTCCTTGTAGCTTTTTCCCCACCAAACCACAGAGACCTCCACAAATCCACTGTGAGAGGCTGCAAACTCTTCTATTAGCAGAACCCTGCCTTTGTGAACATCCCCTGGGTGTTGGCCTGTCTGCTCTGCCTGTTTGTTGTCTGTCCAGTGCTGACACTAGGGTGAGGTGCTGAGGGCTCTCCCTTTCAGAGTCACCAAGTGCTGGCCCTGTGTCTGTGCTCTGCAAGGTGACGGAAGGCCCTGGTGTCAGAGACAGTGGTGTGAGCTCAATGCATGTTTGTGCCAACAACTCTATAGGCGCTCCATTTATATGTAATTTGTGTTCCCTGAGGTGTTGTCAGCTGTACTGTAGGGTCTACTTTGAGAAGTGTGGAGAAGCCCTGGGCAGCCCGGACTGGCTGGGTTGGGGAGCCAGCAGGAGAGGGCTGGAAGGATGCCCACGGAGGGCAGTGCCCAGCTGCTCCACATGGGGAGCAGAACGTGCTTGTGGGAGCCTGAGGCCTCCCTGATGAGCCCTCTCGCTCCTTCATTTACCCAGTCTGGCCTCAAGGTTGGGTAATGCTGGTGGCAGGACAGGGTCAAGGGTTCCCATAGGTCTTGGCCTCCCCAGGAGATGAGGGACTGGCTAGGAAGGTGGGGACTGAGGCCTAGAAGCCTCTCTGGTGAGTGCTGTGAGCAAGCCTGTGAGCCTGAGGACTGGCCCGTGTCTGTCCTGGCCCCGCCTTGTCCCAGCACAGGGAGAGCAGGCACACAGAAGGTGCCCAAAATGTGTATATTTCAATTGACATCAAGAAGCCTAAGGGAGAGAAGCACTAATGGAAGAGATGAGGTGTCTTGTCTGAGGGTTTCAGCCCCAGGCAAATTCACTGTGGATTCAGTGAGACTGAGAAATGACAACAGGACATTCTTGGGGTAAAAGGGTTTATACCCAGCTTTATTCTCCTGGCAGTAGGTTGAGCACTAGAATCACGTCTGCATCCAGCAGTCTGCTGGTCTGTAATCCACCCTCAGTCTCTGCCTCTGCCCAAAGCACTGGGCAGAGCTCTTTATAAAGGACCCTATCAACAATAGCTCATTGCCTACTGGTGCGGGAGCATTAGCCCAGGAGTAGGCCAGTCACATCATCAAGTAGTTTAGGTTCAGGGGAGGATCGTGGCCACAGGAACTTCCATTTTCCCCACAGTGGGCAGGGTGATTAGCTCACTCATAGATGAGGGGCAGCCTAGGAGATGCCTGCAAATCAAAATACATGAAAGGAAAGTGGCTGGTCTCTGCTGGAATGCAGAGGTCTGAGTGAAGCTTAAGGTGGGTACTGCATGTAAAAGATAGTCAAGTAAAAGGAAAAAAGCCATCCAGGAGACCTGGTGACACCGTGTGGGAAGAAGAGTTCCTTTCTCAGCCCAGCTGCTTTCAGCTTGGTAAGAATGACACCTGCCATGCCTATTTCTGTGACTCCCAAGCTGGTTGGGGGGTGAGAGCTTCCTTCTGTTGGGGAGCATGGTTTGAGCTAACACACTGAGTCATGGAGCTGGAGGACTCCAGGACCCAGTGAGTCATAGTCACCGAGGAGCGTCACCGAGATGATGCATCTTTGGAGGTTTCCCAAGAAGTCACAGAGGAAATCTCTTCCGTCCTTCACACCTGGAAAGGCCTCTGAAGACAGGGCTCTTTCTCTCTCTCCCTTTGACTGGGTGGTAGATTCGGATCAGCTCTGCAGCCCACACAGGGCTGGGGATCACTTTGTGAAAACAAGTTGCCCACTTCCTACAGGTAGAGACACAAGCTGGCGTGGGGGTGGGGATGAGTAAGGATGAAAGAAGGGGGTTGTTGGAGCCCCCTTCCTCCTTTCAACTCGGTGGGGCTGCTGGGTGCCACACCTGCAGACTGGTGCCCAGAATCCTCCACCCTTGTTTCCTACTGAGAGTAAGGGAGGGGAGGAAACCAGCGCTGCTCCCAGGCTCCTATCTGTGGTCATTCAAGGGCCACAGCAAGACCAAGAGGGAGATGCTACTGGTGCTCCCATGGGCAGGGGAGGTACCCCAGGGCTGCTCTGCTGGTAGAGACAAGCCCTGTTGTCCCCCCTCCTCAGCACGTGACACGTGACTTCCATTGTACCGATTTTTAAAATCATAATTTATGAACAAATCTCTCTCAGATGGATATTGAAACTGATTCCAAATTTCAAATACTACAGTGACCAGAGCCTCTTTTTAAAGAGTCTGTTTCTCTTCTCCAAACTTTTGTTTTCCCTCAATTATGAAAGAAAAACATGATCATTGTAAAAATTCACACAACACAAAAATGTGCAATGCAGAAATGGAATTTCCCCAGAGTAACTGCCATTACCAGTTGGAGTACATCCTTCTAGACCTCTGTCTAAGCATATACAAAGACATACATCCAGAGGCATTGATAAATGATTACAGAATCAGATTTGCAGAATAAGATTCAGTTGTCTATATTCTTTTTTTTTCTTTTTCAGTTGTCTATATTCTACATCTTCTATGAGATTTCAATTTTGTTTAAAAAAGTACGTGCCGAAGAAAATCTGGAGGAACAATAAGCCTTCAAATACTGATTTTACACATTTCTGCAATGTTCCATACTTGGATTTAAAAAATATCTCTTTATTGAAATATAATCTGTATCTATTTCCATATCTATATGTACTGAGTGTATAGCTCAATGACTTTTCATAAACTGATCACCCCTGTATGACCAGCTCTCAGATGAAGTAGATTGTGCCGACTCCCAAACCTTATGCTCCCTTCTAATGTCATCCCTGCACCAAGGGTAACCATACCCTGACTTCTGTCATGTATTCGTTCTGCTTCTTTGAATTTTAACAGTGACTACATATTGCATTTAAAATGAGGTTAATAACCAGTACAGAGATGGTTAAAACACATGCAGATGTAGTGGCCAACATTTAATGCCAGCACATACGGATCTTGCTCATTCCTTAACAGCTGCATGGAGTCCCTGGCATTGCAATTGATGTAACTGGCTCCTTTTGATGGACATTTTGATTGTTTCCAGTTTTGGGCTAATAAGCAGCACCTCAAGGAACAATTTGGTGCATTTTTCTTTGCGTGTGTCAATCTGAGATGTGTTTAAGATAAATGCCTACAAGTGGAATTGTTAGTCAAAAGATAGCCAGACCAAAAAAAATTGTTTTGATATTTTGCCATAATGGTCCTCCAGAGAGTAGTAAATGCTCAGCTCCTTCTTCAAAACAGAAGGCAGGTGCTGGGTGCAGACCTCCTCACCGCAGCCCCCACTGCTGGCAGCCAAGCCTGCTCGGGTTCTCTGGGCAGATCAGACCCAGCCTGCCTCCGCAGGTGTGTGCTGCACAGAAAACAGCCCAAGGAGCAGCCGCCACCCCCAGCCTTTCCCCCAGCCTGTCCCCATATGAACTTGCAAACAACTAAACACAACTGCCAAGACAGCAGCAGGCAGATGGCTGTTAAATGGCAGGACCCGCATTGGGACTAGGGGCCCTCGCCCTGCTCTGACTTACACTGCAGACTGGATGTGAGCCTGAGGAAGGGCAGGCCCCAAAACTGGGCCTTACTTAGTTTCTTATCATTGAATGGGACATTTCTGAGCAAGTAGCTCACCTTAAAAGTGAACCCTGGAGGAGTCGGCTCCAGGCTGCATGGCCCTTCCCATCTCCCCTCAGCCTTGGGAGGCAGCCTGTCCTGCTGTGCTCTGAGCCGATGGGCAGAAAGCATTTTCTCCTCCTGAGCACCGTCTGCCTGTATGCCTTCTAACTCCCGCCCACCACACCTAGTTCTGCAGCGCCCTCCATTCCCCAGGCAGCATCTCAGGACGGCAGGAGATGGCTCCGCTGTCCCCTCCCCTGGAGCCACCTTTCCTTTCTTGTTTTCTGTCACAGTTTGTACATGCTGGGGCAAAAGTTCCCCTGGTTTTCCACTGCCCTCCTTCACCTGCACCTCTCAGCTCTGAGCCGGCAGCAGGTGGGACTCACTCCTGCCGGGCACGGGGCTTCTGTTAATGCAGTCTGAGGATGCTAAAGCCCAGGGTGGAGAGTTAAGATCCCCAGACTTTTTCAAAAGGCACAGGGGCTTCACCTGAACTCACTCTCCCAGTTTAGCATTTTCACCTTGCAGTTTGTTTCTCTGGCAATTACTGGGAATGTGACAGAGACCCTGATGCCTCCCACCTTCTCTTTATGGCAAGGTCACCAGCCTTGTGGCCAGGATTCCCTGGTGGGGTTCCACCGTCAAGAGAAATGAAGGCAGCTTGGGAGTGGCGAGAGGAGGAGGTCAGTCCCTGCAGCCCTGCCTGGCTCTGGGGCCCTGGGGCCCTGGGTGCTTCTCAGCCCCTTCCGTGTGGACTCCCGCATGCTGTGTGGGCCAATGAGGATGTCAGATGCTGAGCCAATATCTCTGAGGTACAGATGGGCTATTACATCACAGAAGCCATTTACATCTTTTACTCAGGACTTTATTTTTACAGCCCGGACATTTTCATAGAACAGAGAGTGAGAGAAGAAATATACAAGCCATGGAAAGGCAGAAGTAGAAGGTGAGGAACTTCCTACTGGAAAATCAAGTGACCTCCTGCTCCCCAAACCACAAGTCCCCAGTTCCCCAGGAGGGGCCTCAGGGATGGAAATGATTGTGGGCACCAGGTCAGGCCCTGCGGAAGGCTTATTTCCATGTAGGGTCTGGTCTCTGGGGCTGTCTGTGAGGACAGTGAGCCCCAGCCTGGGAAAACTAAGGCGAGCCGTCTCAGCACCATCCCAGGAGAGACTCAGGACTTAGTGTCACTGCGTTAGCATGGCAAAGCAACTTGCAAGATGGTGGCTGGGCAGCCAACACCAAAGGTCCCAGCCAGAGTGGTGTCCGGAGCACGTTTCTTACCCAACCCTCTAGCATGCCCCTGAGTTACAGGAAGTGCCCTGAGGCTCTGAAGCTTTCTAAGATTCCCAATGACCAACTAACAAGTTCCCATGCATGAGGGTCACAGAAAGAACTTGCAGTAGTTAAAAGCAGGCAGCGTCAGCAGGTCAATGAAATTCCCATGGTTGGGTGTGTCCATTCTCGTACTTTTCCAGATCTTGCTCATTACTGACCAGTGTATTTTTGCAGCAGGTCACCAAAAGCATATTCTCTGCTCACTTATAAAACCTGAAAGCAACAGCAAGTTGTGAAACCACTTATTTTCCAGCAAATGATACTGAATTTCCTGTAACAGAAACAAATGGCAAATGAGGATGGAGGGCCTCATTCCAAGTAAGTAAGTCTGGGGTCAGGAGTTTGTGTTAGTAGGTTTTTAGGGACCATCTTACTCATTCAAAATATTAAAAAGTTCATGAAATGCAGCCCAAAGAACTCTAGCTTTGAATACTGTTACTTCCTGCAGGACTTTCTAAGACAGCTATTCACCAATGCACACTAGGGGCCCAGAAGAAGGCCTGCTGATGGGATGATCTTCTGAGGCCAGTGAGAGCCTGGGGAACGTCTTCCCCAAATTGCAACTTGAGTTTGGAGCAGCTGATCTGCAAGGCCCTGGACTTCTCTGTCCACACCCGGATCATGGTAGCCAAACGAGAGGTGGTTTTCAAACATTTTCATTAGCCACAAACCCTTTTGTTTAAAGAATGTCTTAAGTTGAGTGTAACTGCAGGTAATAGAAGAGAGCAGAGCTGTGAGCAGAGGGAGAGGGGGGCTCAGGGCCCCACCCACAACCACCCCAAGCCCCTTCCCCACCTTGGTGGGTCCTTAGAACCCCTGGGTTTGCCCGAACATCCAGTTCCCCCCAGAATGGTGTCAAATCACTGGGGACAAGTTAAAATGAAGGAGTGAGTCCCCTAAAGGGGACTCATTCTCCATAAAAGGTCACCATGGAGAACTTCTTGAACAGAACATTCTGGAGGTCTAGGCTTGGACAGTACACTCAAATTACTGTCTTTTAGGTAGGAGGTGGTTTCCAAATCCAGTATATAAGGTGAATATTGCACATACTCAAAATTATCATTGAAAATTGCCCATAAAATACAGCAGGCATAGGACAGCTCATTTCTTTTTATCACTGAATAGTATCCCTTTGTCTGAATGTACCCCGTTTATTTGTTCATTCACCTATTGCGGAACATTTTGGCTGCTTTCAAGTTTTGGCAACTATGAATAAAGCTGCTGTCAATGACAACAATAACAACAACAACAACAACACAAATATATATATATACACACACAGCAGGCGTATTGAAGCAATTATGATTAAGCAGCTATGTATAAAATATAATGTATGTTGTAATATAGAACATAATGTAGAGAGTTTATATGCTAAATATATTACAGAGTATTTAAAGATACATTTTGTTTCTTAGCTGTTGGGCTCGTAGAGTTAACGTTCACAAATGACATGAGCTGGACTTTCTGAAAGTCCCAATTAACTCCATGGGACCAGGGGCCAACCTCTGAGTATTGCCCCAGGAAATCCTCTCAATAGCCATGAGCTTGATACTGTTACCCATTTTACAGATGAGGAATCAGAAGTTCAGAGAGGTGACGTGACTCATGTACAGTTGCATGGTTTATGAATGGCAGACAGCATTCACATACAGGTTTGCCTCAGGCCCTGGCTGGGGCTCTGGAGCACAAGGCCTGCTGCCCTCTTCAACCTGGAGGTATGGGCTTTCTTTTTTTCCCAAGCACCTCTATATGGAAGGGTTGTCATTAATGAGATAGGTAGTTGGAAAACAGTCTCTGTTTTGAGGAAGAAAAAGCAATCCAAAAACACTGCTTGTGGCCCAATTGGGCCTGAAAGTCCTGGAGGCTGGGAGCAGCTGGCAGCCTCTGGCCTCTCTCAGCCTCTGGGCTTCTGCCTGTGTTCACACAGCTCAGGGATCATGAAAAGCAAGCCTTCTGCTTGCAAACTCTTGGGACCCAGGTGGGGTCCAGGGCAGAGGAGGGGACCAAACATCCCATGCTGGCAGGAAGGGAGCCCGTGAAGATGCCAGCCTTGCATGGACTGACTTGTCTTTAGATCCGACTTGGCTCTTTACTATCCCAGCACTTGGAGCAAGCCTTTCAACTGGTCTGTAAAAAGTAGCTCCTAGGTCACGCAGGACCGAGCTGAATGAAATAATGGATGGGAAGGAGTTTGGAATATCCCACCGTGTTCTGGGCACGCAAGAGTTCACTGTCATCGGGAGAGCTAAGAGCTAAATCTTGCCATATTTGAAATACACTTAAATGATCCATTGGTATTTTTGTTTAGATTATCTCTTTTCCGGAACTCTGTCACCTCATCTATTTATACAGCCTATGAATTGCTTTGAAGGCTGGGTTTGACTGCTTGTAGCTGGGGGCTGTGAGCAGCAGCTGGGTTGAGCCAGCCCAGGACCACACCTGGGGCTGCGAAACTGACACATTTCTGAGGCCCCCAATACTTACTGTTTCAAGAGGCGAAGCCGGGCTCTCCTCTGCTGGCCTGGAAGAAGAAAACAATAACATTAGTGGCATGGGCTGTGGGCTGCTGACACCACGCCCCAGAGAGAGAAAAGGAAGGCTACAGGGGGGCAGCCAACACCTCTGACCACATCCCTGGCGCTCCAGCTTCATGAGTTTAACTCCCTAATGCTCACAGCCAACCTGAGTTGGATACTACTCTGTTTATCCCCATCTTTCAGGGAAACTGAGGCACAGAGTGAGCATGTTACTGAGTAATGAGCTCAAAGTCATGCAGCTGGTAAGTGGTAAAGCCAGAATTCCAACTCAGTTAACCTGCTCCAGTCTGTGTGTCCTTAAACGGAATTGTGGGATCTTGCCCTGACCGCATGTTAGGAATGACGGGGGGTCCTGATCTAGAGCTCATGTACTCAGAGGATGTGCAAGGTTTCTCACTGGGCAAGGAAGGATATATAAGCATATCTATTTACATCTTTAGTTCATCCTTTTTTGTTTTTGAAGCACCTTTAATAGCATGTGTAATATAATAAATTAATAAGTATAGCCAATTGCATTGAGTGTTTATATTTTTAAAGTTTTTACCGATGATCATAAAAAAAGCTTGCAGACCACTGAACTTGAATGGGGCCCTTAGAATGGGATAAATGGATCCCTTGGTGTGGGATAACTGTATGCAAAAATGTGCGCTTGACACATTTCTCTGGGAAGAGGGTTCATAATTGTCACCACATGTTCAGAGGGGTCTGTGACCTATAAAAGAGCCACTGATCTAGCCTGTACCCCTATGGGCCATCCCCTGCCCCATTTTTATAGAAGCTCAGAGAGTGTTAGTGGCCTGCTGGAGGTGGCACAGGTGAGCAGCAGTACCAAGGAAGAGCTTCCCCACAGCTGCCCTCTTTCTTAGAACCCAGCGCGGAGCAGGGCCTGGGGAGTCACAGGAGGAAATGATCTCATGTTCAAAGTGGACCGCAGCAGCGGCCATCTCTGAGTTTCCCTTCAGCCTCATGGGGGTTGGGGGCAGGGGAGGGGTTGGTGGGGGAGGTTCCAGCTTGTGGGAACATGAAGCAAGCCCCACTGTGAGCTCTTCTGGGTACTGCTTCCACCCCAACTGCCCTCAGGAGTTCCTGCTTCCTGGGCACACAGCCCAGGCCCAGCACTTTGGGCAGGACTTTACAGACAGCAGCCCTGGGAGATGGGTGACATTGTTACTCCTGGGTGGGCTCAGAGAGGCCAGGATATGCACCCAAGGTCACTCATCAGCGAGCAGCAGGGTTGAATTTAAACCCAGGTTTCCCTGACTCCAGAGACACGGTGGTCTCTCATCCCTGCAGCAGGGCCTCGGGCCAAGGATCGCCTACGGAACTGCCATGGGGTGTGAGAGGGACAGTGGGGGGCAAACTTCCTGGATGCCATCCACCCCGTTCCCTACAGAAGGAAGTACCCTCAGGGATGCCTCGATGGCAAAAGAGGTCCCCATGATAGCCCAGGAGGGCACAACTTACAGTGCAGGTGGAGGGCTGCACTCACAGATCAGGGCCTCGGGCCAAGGATCGCCTACGGAACTGCCATGGGTGTGAGAGGGACAGTGGGGGGCAAACTTCCTGGATGCCATCCACCCCGTTCCCTACAGAAGGAAGTACCCTCAGGGATGCCTCGATGGCAAAAGAGGTCCCCATGATAGCCCAGGAGGGCACAACTTACAGTGCAGGTGGAGGGCTGCACTCACAGATACCAGCAGAACCAGGCCGCCGGCCGCCAGCAGGCCAAGGGTGAGGCGGCTGCAAGACAGGCCTGGAAGACACACACGGTGAACATGTGAGACATGCAGATAAAACATACAGAGAGGAAAGTCAACCGGAAGCCCCATCTCCCCCTCCATATGCGAACGCCACTGTGTGCCTAATTCCTTCTAGTCTCTTCTCTAGGGATTTGAATCACACTGAGGTAATTTTATATATAAAATCTCATGCCTCACATCCCAATTTTTAAAAATTAATTAAACTCAGGAGCTATTTATATTCAAAAGAGATACACAGTTTTCATTCCTGGTAATGGGATTTTTATTATTTATTTTTAAAACTCTGAGTTTCACAAGAACTAGCTGAATATATTTCCATCATAAAAGATTCAAGTATATGGTTAGAATGCCTCTTGGCATCCTGGCTCCTTCACAGAAGTAACTGCCCTGGTTAATTTGGTGGCTCTCTCTTTGCATTTACACATATATAGTTTACATAGACGTACAGTTGTTTTTTTTTTTAAGCATACGGTGTCTTATATGTACAAACTGTTCTGTAAACATGTTTCACTGAAACATGTCCACACATTCTTTTTTTGAGCAGAGTAGCATTTGAAATATGGATGTACCATGGATGATTAAGCCGTCAGTGGGCATTTTGATTTTACTTTTATAAACAACTCTATAGAGAACATACTGGTACATTTCTCCTTATGCAGGAGCCTGCCTGCAGTAGATATTGAAAACAGGAACTACTAAACCATTAGACTACGTCCATTTAAGACTGTAATAGATACTTTCAAATTCCTTCCTGCAAGACTGCACTGGTTTCCATTTCTGACCGCTGATCACACACTCTGCCAACCCTTGGTATCATCAAAGTTTTTAATTGCTGCCAGTCCTGAGGGTCAAAAATCATAGTTCATTAGTAACCATAATGTCGCTCATGTAATTGTAGATTAATGATACCAAATTAAAAAAAAATTGTAGTTCACTTCAATTCCCTGACTATCAGCTTCAGTCTGTTCTTATGTATCAGCCACTTGTATGACTTTTCTTCCATGAGCTGCCTGTTTGTTCCTTTGCTCATGTGTGTTGTATTTCAACAGCAGAGTTTATATTATCAATGCCTCAAATTCTTCTCTGACTCTCTTCGTGCCCCTAAGGCTAGTGCCTGTGAGTAGCTGAGAAGCAGACCCAGGACCCCTGAATGAAAAGGGAAAGGTTGTATATCTGGGCTTGAGGTTAAAAAAGTTGAGAGTTTTGGATGTCAGAGAAGGGAGAGAATTTTTACCAACTGTTATGTGCCAAGTACAATACTAATTGCAGACTTCTATCTCATGAGGAGGGGAGGTACTATCATTTTACAGTTCAGAAAAAACAAGATTTAAAGAGGTGAAATTACATGCCCAAGGTCACCCAGCTACGAAAGATAGGGCCAGGGTGTGGACCAGGTCCTGCAAGTTCTACAGGTGCTGTAGTCCTGCCACAACAGCTGTGGGCATGAGAGGCAGGGGAGGGAATGGGGTGGGCTGCTCCATGGGTTGGGGGGGGCGCCCTTGCCAAGGCTGATGGTGAGATGTGGAGAGATTCCTGCACTGGGCAGAAGGTTGGATGAGAGGCCCTTGAAAGTCCTTCCACCTCTGAAATTCAAGGGTCTCTATCTGCCTCCCATACAGGATGGGCCTCGAAAACAAAGTAAATGCTAAGTGAAAGAAGTGAGGAATGAAAGGTATATGTGTGATTCCACTTTTATGAAATGTCCAGAAGAGGCAGATCTATAGAGATTGAGAGTAGATTAGTGGTTGTCAGGGGCTAGAGTGGGAATAGACACTAGCGGGAAACCAGTGCAAAAGATATTGCTGGGGTGGTGGAAATGTCCTAAAACTAAATTGTGGTGGTTGCATAACTTGGTGAATTTACTAAAAATCATTGAGTTGTATGTTTAACATGGGTAAATTTTGTGAGATGCAAATTATATCTCAATAAAGTTTTTTTTAAACTGATGCACATGGGTGAAGGTTGCAGGATCACACATGGCAGGAAGGTCCCCTCCCTCTGAGGAGGAGTTGGGTCAGGGGAGCTTCCTGAGGACTGGTCATAACTGACTGGAGGCCAGTGACACAGCGAGATCACTACCCGAATGTGGCTCCAGGAAAAGCTGCTTCTTCTAGTAAAGGCAGTGAAAAGCCTTCTGAGGCAGGGAGCCAGCAGCCAGAGCCACACTAGGGAGCCTGGCCTGGCTTTCCTTGCCTTGCTCGGGTTTTGGGGCCTCATGAGACCTGGATCACACCACACTGCTCCTGAGACAGTGGTTGGGAAATTGTTGGGTGTCACTCGTGACAACAAGCTTTGAGCTCTGTGTGGGCAGCCTGCCAAGCTGAGCACCTCAGGAATAGTATTTCATTTAACCCTGCCTTCCCTTTAGTGAGGTAAAATCCCCCATTTTACAGATGAGGAAACTGAGGTCCAGAAGGCCTGAATCCCTTGCCCAAGGTCACACAGTATAGGCACAGTAGACACGGATTCAGACCTAGGCCTGGCTGGCTTACCACTAGGCTACTGTGCCCCATGGCCCCCATCCCTAATGCAGCTTCCACCTACTTCTCCCATTCAGCCATCTTAACACATATCTTGGTTATTCTTAGTATCCTTCTAATGTTGGGTTTGTATTTTACCCTAAGATTTTACTAAGGGTTGATATAAAAAATGATGCAAGAAATGGAAAGTCCTTTTTTTCATCATTTATAAAAGTGTTACTGAATTCACCATCATTCAATGGTCCTTATATAAAGATTTCTTCTGGAATGTAAACCAAGATGAAGGCTCTGATGTGTGGGGTTACTTCTTTACATCACTGTGGGGCGGTTTGTGGTGCCAGTTATTTGGAGCATTCACTTTGCTGCAGCTGTGTTTGCTTGTTTCTCCAGAGCAACAGCACAGATCCAGCTTTTGCATCCTCATATGACTTAATGGTCCTGTTGTATTTGCTTCTTGAGTCCTTTTCTGTTGTACGCTGCCTGATGTTCTTTAAGTGAAGTTGTGGGACATAAATAATTTATAAAGTCAGGTCATCCTGTCCCCACCTTTATGTTCCCCATAACTTTGCCCTTCTGTACATAGGTTCTGATTTTCTTTTTTACTGTGACCTTATACGGGAACTTCCTGCTGCCATCCCCTGGATCCCATTTGATGTCTCCCCCCAGACTCTTTCTGGTACTTTATATATTGAAGACAGAGCAATCCCAGCAGTGCCAGGCAGCCCTGGTGTGTCTGCTTGCAGTTTGTTTTAAGGGTAGGAGCAGATGGCACTTTTTGCCTATCACCAGTAACTTCTGGGGAGCAGAGGTGAGCACTTTTCCACAAACACACTTGGGCTGTTGTGTGTGTGTGTACTCCAGCTGTAGTGTCTGGTGCTCATAGCACAGAGAGGAGAGTTTGTTCACTCCTTCAAACATTTGTTAAGCATATATTGGGTGTTAGGTCCTCTGTGAGGCATCAAAACTGGAAAAATTTAAAGTGCTGGTTCTTTGGGTTGGGTGTTTTGACAGCTTTATTGAGATATAATATACATATCATAAAGTTCACCTGTTCAAAGTGTAAAATTTAATGGTTTTTGGTATAGTCACAGAGTTGTGCAACCATCACCAAAATCTAATTTTAAAACATTTTATCACCCTGAAAAGAAATTATGTACTGGTTAGCAATCACTCCCCATTCCTTCCCCAATGCCCACCCCTAACCTTAGGCAAACACTAATCTACTTTCTGTCTTTCTGGGATGCCATATTCTGGACATTTCATATCAATGGGATTATATAATGTATGTTCTTTTGTGATTATCTTCTTTTACTGCATATTTTCAAGATTCATCCATGCTGTAGCATTATTTGTACTTCATTGTTTATTATGGCCAAATGGTATTCCGTTGCATGGATATTTCGTATTGTGTTAACACATTCATCAGCTGGTGGACATTTGAGTTGTTTCTACTTTTTGGCTGTTAGGACTCATCTGCTAGGAACATTTGTGTGCAAGTTTTGGGGGGGGACGTAGCCTCCATTAAGTTTGTCCTGTGAGGCTTCCCTTCCCCATCCTGCTTGGGCGGGGCCAGAGGAACAGAGCCTGCCAACACTTGGGAAGGGCCTGTGGAGGGACTGCGGGCAGGGAGGGGCAGTGTCTGCTGCACTCTGAGGGTCCCAGGGGATGGAGGAACTCACCTTTTGGAGTCACGGGGTTTGGGAACCGGCACACTTTCTTCTTTGGGGTGGACTTCTTGGTGGGCTGGGCAGTGGTGGGAAGGACATCAACTATAGAAAGCAAGCAAGATGCTTAGGTTAGTCCATAAACTGTATGTAGCCTTAGAGACAAGACTTAAAGCCACACGGCTTACACCCAGGTGCTAGAGTTCTTATGCAGTTCCCTCAGCTGCCATGGGGCCTGAAGATCACAGAGCAATAGAATTTTTGATCTGTTCTCCCAACCCTCAGATCTGTGAGGGCCTTGGCCTGGGGGTCAGCTTGGAGTCCTAGGGCAAGAGGTCTTTGGAGCCATGCAGACCTGAATGGTGCCGCAGCACCGGGAGTTAACCACTGTGTGACTTGGGGCAAGTCCTACCTGTGCCTCAGTTTCCCCATCTGTGGAAATAAAGATGACTCCCATCTTCTTCTGGGGGTTGTTTTGAGAATTAATGGGGACATTGTGTCCAGCAAGGTGTGCAGTAGACATGACTCCACCTGGTGAAGACCTAAAGCTGAAGCCAGAGTCCCCAAGCCCTTGGCATGGCCAGCCCCTCAGCCCACTGCCAATCCCTAAGCAAGTGAACGAAGCTCATAGAAAGGAGGGGGTGTCCTTTTCTGAATCTACAATACCAGGCACATTGCAAATATTGGGATTTTCTTTCCTGCTCAGGGGTCTTTAAAAATTACATAGTATCAGAGCTAGAGGGACCTTTAGTCTAATCTCAACCCTTCATTTCAAAGGTTAACGCTGGTGATGTGAGAGGCTGGTGCCTGAGGCCCGACAGTGAGAAGTGCCAGCCTAAGACCCTGAGCCCCTCTCCTGACTCCTGAGGGTCACTCTTCTCTTTTGTTCTAATCCAGTGTCACATATGGGTGTTGAGATAGGGCAGTAGGACAAGCCCACAGAGCAGAGGGAGACCCTGAGGGGCTGAGGAAGGGGGTGAACCCTGGTACTGCTGAATCCAACCTTTGCCTTTGGGGGTTGAGGGAAGACACATCAAGGAAATGATTTTCTGCAAAATGGGAGGATTGGCAATAGGGTGACACCATGAAATTAAACTCAAGCATCAAAGGGGCAGGGAGGGGCCGCCAGCGAATGGGTCATTTGGGGGCTGGCATCTTCTATATAAAAAGTGTACCTTTCAGACCTTCACCGACCTGAGCCTCCTCTGGAAAGTAGAGATGACACGCTCTACTCTGCCTGCTTCCTGGGGTTTCTAGAAAAAACCAACTAACTAGAACAAACACTATGAAGCTCCCACCATGTGCTGGTGGCAACGGCAGGCACAGCAGCTTCAGTTTATTGAACCAACAGCTCTGGGGACAGGCACTGTTATCCCCATTTTATCCCTGAAGAAGACTAGGCTCAGAGCTGAGATAACTTGCCCTAAATCCAAGAGGCATTGAACAGCAGGGCCAGGATCTGAGCCCAAAGAGGGTGATTCTAGGCTCTTACTATGCAGTGTGCCTCAGGTGCAAATGTCTTTTGACAAAAAGTTAAGCGCCTCAGATCAAGCCAAGGCCCTGGGTGGTCAGAGCTCTGAGGGAAGCGAGTAGAGCATTAGCCGCAGTGCTGCACACGCCGGCCCTCTGCTGGAGGGGTTCTCATATCCCTCACCCTCAGGGCTCTGAAGCATTGGCTTCCCTGACTTTACACACGAGGTCTGTGGTGAGCCTGCAGGGCAGCTGGGGCGATAGGGCCTCAGTGCCTTGGCTGGGCCTGGTGGCCCAGGTCTGATGGAAGGTTTGCGGGGATGCTTGTCCATTTTAACCTCTTGCTAAGAGCCAGGCCCCCACAATTCCTCCTGACCCCCTCCCCCAAGTTAAAATCTCCCTGCTTCTCTCCTCTTTGAAATGGATAGGCCTTTTGAGTCCATTGTTGTCCCTACAGGGCCTGAAAAAGGCTCTGTTTTTACCCAAACTCTTTCTCTACTATCCGAGCTTCTTTCTTCAAAGGCACTGATCTTCTGGCAGGAGGGATGGGCTCCACTTCCGGATACCCTGACCCTTGGAGATGATAGGGTTGCCAGCACATGCTCTGTAGAGGGATTTCTATTCTTGGAGAGTTGGGCAGCATGAAGGGATTGGAAATATCAAAGCCAGGAGGGAGTGGGTAGGGGGACAGCTTCTGAAAACCAGTTTTGCCTATTTCATCATCCACCTTTCTCAGACCCTGAAATCTCATGAGTGGGAAGATGTGAGGCTTAGAGAGAGGAAAATCATAAACCAAACCCAAACCCCAAATCCCCAAAAGCCCAACTTTCAATACAGGTATCAGTCACTCCCTGCAGAGGGGTGCCTGGGCTTCCTACCCAGAGCTCTCACACCCCCACCCCGACCTCCTGATTTAAGACCTGAGGCTGGTGGTGTGTGAGGGCCTGTCACTCTGGTTTCCATCCTCCTCACATACTGCCATCTCCAGCTGTCCCTGCATTTTCCCCTGCTGAGTGGTCTAATTTCTGGGGGATCCCCTTTTCACTCTCAGAATCCCTCCCCCAGCCCAAGGACCCAAGTGAGCTGGAGGCAGGACTGTGGGAGGCTGGCAGGGGCTTGGCTCTGGCTGCGGGCTAACTTGGGGATGGGGCTAAAGCCACATGTGGGCCTTGGAGAATCTCTGCCACAATTCCTTCGTAGCCATGATAGTTTAATCCTCACTGTGCGTGTGGCCACTCCTTGACACATGTGCTACTGAGCATGTGCAATGTGTGCCGTATGGGTACAATACACATCCAACACTTAGTAGGAAAAGGGAAAGGAAAACACTTCTATAATAATTTTTATACTGATTACATGTTACAGTGATAATGTTGATAAATGGAGTTCAATAAGATATATTACTGAAATTAATTTCACTTGTTTCTTTTTACTTTTTTAATGTGACTATTAGAAAACTTTAAATTACATCTGTGGCTTACAATATATGCACAGTTTCCTGGACATACTGACTTAACTCATGGAACAGCAGCTTCCCAGGGATGGAGGGGGTCACGGAGGCCATGCATGATAGAGCAACCCCATGATGCAGATGAGAAACTGAGGCCCAGCAAGGGAGTCACCTGCCCAGAGGCACAATGTGAATTCACAGCAGAATTTGCAGCTGGGCCTGGGGTCCATTCTCTTCATTCCCTGCAACTGTGGGTGTGAGTTTGAGCTGTAGGCCCCCGTGCAGAACATGAGAGCATCTGCCCCTCCACTGGCCCTAGAAATGTTCTCTCTGGGGATGTGCATGCAGTGAGGGTCTTCTCTCCCCGGGTGCCCACTCAGTGGGGGTTTCCGAGACCACCATAGGGCCTGTAGTCTCAGTGCAATCCAGCCATAGCCTCAGGTGGGCCTCATGTGTCTGAAGGACAGCACTTCCCTGTCCCTAGGAGCAGTAGCCATGTGTCTAAGCATCACTCTGCAATGGGAATCGAACAGTACCTGACTCCCGGGGGGCTGGCAGCACTCACCATAGCGACTATATACAGCACCTGACACACTTGGCCCTGGGTTAGCCTTGACACATAGTTTCTGCTACTATTGGCCTCAGTGCTATTGCTCACGGCTGTCATTCCATCCTGCAGAATGGGGCTTGCTGAGAGTGGGGGCAACTCCCATGCCTGGCACACACCTGGCACACAGTAGGTGCTCAATTTTCATCAACAGCACGCACAAGAGCCAGAGTCTTACCCACGCTCAGCCGAGTTCCCTTCCCGAAGGTCAACTCGGGGTTCCCAATGGTCATGCAAAAGTAGACACCGCTGTCCTCAGGCTTCACACTTGTGAGATTTAGAATGAACCGATTTGCATCCCGAAATGCAGTTAGCTTCTCCTGCTCCACCTCCTCACCATACACGGTCCCTTTTGTGGAATCCCACAAGGCCAGGAACTCAAGGTGACTGTCCACACTGGGCGCCTGGCACTGTCTCAGCCAGTAGATGCGCATGCTAGTGGGGGAGGTTCTGGCTTCACAGGAGAGCATCACCATTCGGTTCGTCTGAATCTTCAGGGAGGCAGGGGTCTGCTGGAGTGCGGAGCTGCCGTGGAGAGCTATGAGAAGCAGAAGGAGCAGAGCCATCAGCAGTTTTCCTGGCTGCAGCTGGGGGTCTCAGAGGAGCCCTGAGCCAAGGATCAAAGGAGAAGCTGTGGAAGAACCTGCCCAGTTTCAGGGTCCTGGAGCTGTGTAAATGCAGCTGGTGGCTTCTGGACTCAGAGCTTGACACCCCACTTCCCAAGAGATCATTTACGAGGCAGGTGTTTACAAAGGGGACACCAGAGAGAGCTCCCATGTGTTGATTGCATGCTGATCTGCCTGGTTCTTTACATAAATTATCTCAATCCAGCCTCAAATTTATTTCAGGATTTTTATCCCCATCACACAGATGCAGAAACTGAGGCATGAAGTTACTGATTCAACATCCCACTAACAGCTCATATATGACCTGGGATCCAAACCCAGAGATTTAGTCTGAAGTCACAGCTAGTCGCCGTTCACCTTGCCCTGCTGCCACCATGTTAGACCTTGGTAGGCTCTAAGCGGCTGAAGGACACCCAGGGAAATCTGGAAGAGGAGCTCAGAATCAGAAGGAGAGCACACGACTGGTCTGGCCAGCCACCCTTTCTGGATAGTGATGACAACCAGCGAGAGGAACTCACTGTCCCCTGGTAGGCATAATAACAGCCCATCGTTCTCTAACCCAGCAAATAATGTCATAGGATCCCCCTTCCCCAGGGGAAAGACAGACACCCCGGAAGCAGTGCTGGGGCTTCACTTTAGTCTCAGATGGGAAGCACTGGCAAGTAGGGGTTGTTCATGGAAAACTGGCGCAGAGCTCTGAGACCTGGCATTGAACCTGCTTCGTCCCCATACCAGTTGTGGGACCTCAGGCAAGGCATGGAACCTGTTGATTCCCTTTAAGAGGAGGGTGGTTGGGGCCACTGCTCTCCTTGCCTCCAAGGGTTGGAATGTCCAAGAAAGCACACTGCAAACTGTGCACTGTGCCCAGGGAAATCACTGTCCCATGATTGCACTGCAGGGCTCCTGATTACCAGCATCAAATGAAGCCTTCAGAAGGACTGGAGTGGGTCCTCCATAGTCCAAGTCCAACAAACTGAATCTGACCTAGTGAGCCCTTCATTTCTGCTGTGGGGCAGAGGGAGACTCTGCAGACCAGGGCGGAGACCCAGGAGCAAGGGGGCCCTGAGCAGACAGACCTGGGTGAGCAGAGGAGGTGTGTGTATGTGTGCATGTACTTGGAAGGGTCTGGTTTCCTGAGGTGATGGCCCATATTCACAATCTTGCCTATACTGTGGCTCAGGTGCCCCATAGTGGCCTTCTCTAATGCTGATGATATGAACTTAAACTTTTTGACTCTGCTCACAGACCACTGTGAGCTTCAACCTGCATCAAGAATGACATGGTACCTTGGGCTCAAGTGGCTGCCAGGCCTTGTCTTTTCTCCCCAACCATGTACTGCCTTTTCTGCAGAATAGAGGTTCTTCATTGTTTTGGGTCCCTAACCTCTTAGGGTAGACTTAGGGTAGATGGTAGGAATGGATAATGCTGATATTTATTGAATCTACTGAATCGTGCTGAGCATGGTGTATGCATTATCTCATTTAATCTTCACCAAATCCTGTTTTACGCCCATTTTATATATGAGGAAATGAAGGCTCAGAAAGGTTAGGTCACGCTCAATGTCTCACAGTCTGTATATGGTGGATTCACATTCAAACCCAAGTCTGGGACCCCAGAACCTGAGCCACTCCAAGGACTTTGAGCCACTCCCTGAGTTGAGGAAATGTGTGATCCTCTCCCAGCCTGTGTCTATGTGCTTGTGTGCAAGTAGTGGGGTTGCAAATATACAGACTCCTGAAGCCTTTCCAAGAAAGCCCAGAAGTGACTCCTTGAAGGGTTAAAGGGGTAGGAAGGGGCCTTGGGAAGTTTGTGTACTTCCCCCTCCTTCGTCCTGGCTGAGACACACCCTGCTTTCTCTCTCTCTCTCTCATGACCACTTGCTTTTCCGCCCCTGGAGACTGAACAGCCAGCTGAGGCCGAGCCCTATCTGCATGCCCAACACAGAGCCAGGCCTTGCCTCACATGTCATCTCATTTGATTCACCTGGTAGCCTCAGTTGATCCATTCTCAGAGGGAACTGTTATTTCAAAATAATGCATTACCTCATTTAATCTTCACCAAATCCTGTTTTACGCCCATTTTACATACTCTGCAATAACTTTGTTAGCTTTAGGGGCCTGGACTCCTACTGAAGATGCTTTTGAGCTTGACGGGTCAGAGCGAGGCCTGGCAGGCCTTGTCACCTCTGGTAGGACCACCAGCTTTGGGCTTTGAGGCAAGAGAGTCATCAGCCGCAGGTTAGTAGGGGTTTGCGGTGCCGAGGGGCTTCGTCAGGGTACACCTAGGCTGTCCCTTGCAACCCAATGCCAAACTTCCCGCTCCAGCTCGTTACTGTGGCCACAGTGCCCAGGACACAGCCAGGGGGATACAGGGAGGCAGAGCACTCACCTTACCAGTCTGGGAGCTGGCAATAAACAGCCGGGTGCCCAGAGGATTGTACTACTACTTCCCCGGAAGTAATGAACATATGTCTCCACAACTCTCCGCCAAGCTGGGGCACCAAAGCCAGTCTGGAACCTTCCTGGGGGCACATCCCTGTGCGGACCTTGGACAAAGGCATTTTCCCGTCCTCTCTGGACCTCCCTGCACACTCTTTTCTTCCTTCTCATCTCCTTTCCTCCCCCACCTCCTCTCTTCCTGCCTCTCCTTCCCCTAGCTTCAGGCTTTAGGCAGAGGCCCGGGACTCCCAGGACCCCAGGTCCCCCGCAGCCTGGGCTCTGCATCCGACCGGGACCGCCTGTGCTAAACGCCGCCACTCGGGCTCTGTCCGCCCCGGCGCAGCGCGGACCCCCGCTCGGCCCCCCGACCTCCCCGGCTTACCTGCAAGCTGCGTGGCAAGAAGCCAGAGCCGCAGCTGCATCTTGGCGCGCGGGGCACACCTGTCTCGGTGGGGCTCGGCTGAGACTTCGGGGCCGGGGTGAGGTGGGGGGCGAGGGGCGTTTTGGGGAGGGAAGTGAGCGGGGAGGGCGGGACCGGCGGGGCGGGGCGGGGTTGGCCGGGTCCGCGCCTCCGTCCTGACGGCATTTCAGAGACCCTGGCTGCGTGTCCAAAGAGCCACTGTGATAGTCAATTTTATGTCAACTTGACTGGGCCATGGATGCCTAGATACCTGATAAAACATTTCTGTATGTGTCTGTGAGATTATTTCTGGAAAAGATTAGCCTTTGAGTTGGTGGACTGAATAGAGCATGTGGCCCTCCCCATTGTGGGGGAATATCACCCAGTCCATGGAGGGCCTGACTCTGACAAGAAGGTGGAGGGAAGCTGGATATACCTTGCCCCTGCTTGTCTGCCTGAGCTGGGACATCAGTCTTCTCTTGCCCTCCACACTCCTGGTTCTCAGACCTTCAGACTTGGACTGGAATCTACACCACTGGCCCTCTGGCTCTCAGGCCTTTGAACACCACCACCAGCACTACTGGGTCTCCAACTGCAGACAGCAGTTTATGGGATTTCTCAGCCTCCACATTTGCATGAGCCAATAATTTATAATAAATCTTCCTATATATATATCTCCTATTGGTTCTCTTAATCTGGAGAACCCTAATAAAGTAGCTTTGAACTAAGTTTTAAAATCGATAAGTCCACCTTTGTTGTTCTCTTTTTAATATTATTTTAACCAATCAGGGCCCCTTATATTTCCATATGAATTTGAGGATGTTTTTTCATTTCTGAAAAAGAGAATGCTGGAATTTTGGTAGGGATTGCACTAGATTTATAGATTGGGTAGTATTGCCTTACTAACATTACATTTTCTGATCATGAACACAGGATATCTTTCCATTTTCTTAGGTCTTGTTTTTATTTAGCAATGTTTTTTTAGTTTTCAGTTTGGCAAGTCTTTCACCTTCTTGGTTAAATTTATTCTTTGGTATTTTATTCTTTTGGATACTATTGTAAATGGAATTGCATTCTTAATTTCCTTCTGAGATTGTTCATTGCTGGCACATAGAAGCACAACTGATTTTTGTGTGTTGATTTTGGATCCTGCAGTTTTGCTGGTTTTATTAGCTCTAGTAGGTTTTTTTGGTATGTGGATTCTTTGAGATTTTCTACACATAAGATCATTACATCTGAGGGTAGAGATAGTTTTACTTTTTCCTTTCCAACTAGGATGTCTTTCTTTTTCTTATCTAACCTCTCTGGTAAGACACCAGTGTAATATTGAAGGTGAAAGCAGTTATCTTTATTTTGTTCTTGATCTTAGGGGAAATGTTTTCAGTCTTTCATCATTGAGTTTGATGTTGGCTATGGTTTTTCAGAGTGTTCTTATCAAGTTGAGGAAGTTCCCATCTATTGCTAGTTTCCTGAGTGCTTTTACCATGAAAGGGTGTTAGATTTTGTCAAATGCTTTTTCTGCTTCAATTGAGATGATCATATGGTTTTGTTCCTTTGTTCTATTAATGTGGTGTATTACCCTGATTGGTTTCCTTCTGTTGAACTACCCTTGCATTCCTGGGATAATTCCCACTTGGTCATGATGTGTATTCTTTCTAATATGTAGTTGAATTCAGTTTGCTAGTATTGTGTTGAGAATTTCTGCACTATATTCATAAGGGACAATGGTCTCTAATGTGACTTTTGTAAAAACATCTAGCACTGAGCTGCTTTGGCTGGTGAATGCTTTTAGAGCTGTAGTCTTTCCTGGGTTGCAGTCAGTAAGGCAGAGCATTAATGACTGCAAATTATCTGGGATGAACCAGCTTTCCAGTTTTATTCTCCACCTTCTGTAAACTGTTCTGCATCTAGAGACGCTTTCCTGTCCCTCACAAATGCCATCAATTCAACCAACATGTAGTGAGAGCATCTTAAGCCCTGTGCTCCACCCCAGGATACCAAGGTGCCTGAGAGCCATTCCTGCCCTTGAAGAGCTGAATCTCATGCTGACAGACCTGTTCCCAGACAATTACAATTACAGTTAGTCCTAGCACCATGTCACCCATGCACTCCCAAGTCAGCAGTCCTGATGCTCACGTGCCCTGAGTCCTGTGTCATTGATCCTTCCCTACCCCTCCTTCTCAGTGGGTGGCCACAAGTAAAGGAGACAAGTGTGGTGTGGGGACAGACTAGGGGTTCTTTATAGCTCATCCACTCACCATCTGGGTAACTTTAGGACACTTATTCAACTTTCTGAGCCCCAGTTTTCTCAGTTGTAAACTGGAAATAATGATCCCAACATTATGGGGAAACAGCAATGTAGACACACAAATTCCCCAGTAAAGAACTTTCGGTCAAGTTAGGGAGCTCAGATGATGTGAGGTGCATCTGAAGCAGCCACACACACATTGACCAAGTGGTTATTGCTTCCTGATTAAATAAAACCAGCCTTCTATAAAGCTCATGCCGTTCAGTCTCAAAACTTTTCCCACCTCCATACATTGCTTTACAACTATTCCTAAATTCTGTCCAGATTCCCTCCCAGATTACTTCTTATTTAAATCTTTACTTTACGTCGACCTGCAAATCACTAGTCTGTTTCAAATAATAAGGCATGGCTTAGGCTGGTGTTTCCCACCCTCTAGCCATTCATGCCTCACCTTTTGTTTTTCCAGAGCTGTACTCCAAGACTGTATTTTCTTTAAATTGACTTAAAAAGAGCTAAGTAAATTTATTTTAAAGATAAATCTAATCACACATGCCATAAATAGATGGTTACTGTTAAATACAATGCAAACAAAAGCTGAAGGCAGCAGGGGAGGCTAAGAGTTCCAGAGTGGGCGTGAAGACACTGTCATTACTACATGGAAACTTTCTCCTAGCAGAGCACAAGGAGGAAAGCAGAACTGAAAAGTGAGTAACCTCCTCTTTGTGTCACTGAATGTGTCTGTTCATTGCCTCAAGTAACTTTTTGAATGAAGTTGGGTGGAAAGAGCCATGAGTCAGGTCTCAGTGGATCTTGGTTAGAAGGATTCCTTGCCTCTTCCAGCCCCCAAGCTTTGATTTCCTCATCTGACAAATGGGGATAATATAAGGTTGGGAGAAGGAGCCACTGACATCTTGTAGATGGGGACCAGGGATGCCAGATGCTCTACAACTGTGGGATGGTATCAAACAGCAGGGATACTCCACAACTTGCAAGACTCTCAGTGTCCTTCCAGACCTTCATCCAGATGAAGCACCTGCTTACATGACCCAAGCCCAGGAACAAGCTCCATTTTATACATTGACAAAGCCTTCCTTTCTTCTTTCCTTCTTTGTATCTCACTTGTATTTCATTCTCTGCTTTACCTTAGTGCCTAGAAAAATGACTGGAATTCAATATTTGTTAACTAAATGAATAGATAAATGCCTATTTTCCTACTGGATTAGTTATATCTTCTTACTGATTGGTAGAAGCTATTGTCTAGTAGGACTATACCAATCAGGGACACACAAGGAGAAAAACAATACCAGAAATTTAAACAGAAACAAGAGCTTTTAACTAATAAAAGGTGGTTAACTACCAAAAAGATTAAAGAAAGACTCTGAGGCAGATACTGGCAAGCTTTTTCTATAAAGGCCCAGGCAGTAAGTATTTTAGGCTTTGTGGAATAAGAGGCACAACCAAGGATATAATGTAGGTACTTATATAACATATAGAAAGCAAATTTCTGCCACCTTGGTATTGATAAAATTAAAAATATAATAATAATTGAGTACAAGCTTTGGAATAAAGTTCTTTAATGTGATGGCTGGGATCCATTTGGTTGGGATAACATTTTGCTTAGCTGGGGTTTGAATGTAAAAGCCATTCTTAGATGGAGGACCCTACAAAAACAGGCAGAGGGCTGGATTTGGTCTGCGGGCTGCAGTTTGCCCAACCTTGACCCTTGCGGGAGAGTGAATGTGGAAGGAAGTGAGAAACTTGGAAGAGGGGCACCCCCCATGACTGAGATTCAGACCTCTGCAGAGAACATTGTCTCCACAGGTCGCACAGCCCACCAGTGACAAAGAACCATGTCAGAGGACGTGGGCTGCAGCAAGCAAGCAAGCGCGCACACGCACACCCACCCCCAACACACTCCCACCAAAAACGGGCAACCCTGGGAAAGGAAGTCGCTCCTGCTCCCGGTGTACAATGGCCCTCCAGCGCCCTCTACTGGCAGAGACTAATATCAAGCGAGCCGGCAAAGGAGACAGATTTTTAAGTTTCATAAAGCAGAGCAAAGAAGCTGCTTGGAGCTCAAGGCAATAATTTAATAATTGGCAAAAGAGATATTAATACAAAGTGTTGCAGATATTTTTTACAAGTCTGTTGCTTCCCTTTAAGAAATTCTTATTGAAAAGGTGTAACAGTCCCGTATAGGACAAAATTCGAACAGAAACACACACTTTGAAACATCAGTTGGCTTGTCATTTCTGCCCCCTACCCACTTAATCTTCCCTCTAGAGCCCACAATTCAGTGTATTGTGTACCTCCTGGAGCTGTTCTATGCTAAGTACAACACTTATCTTTTAATTTCTGTTTTTAAAAAAATTCACAACAAAATCTTCTGCAACACAGATTTTAAGTGTTTCTGCAACTAGGTTTACTATGTTTTCTTCTCTTATGGCTGTTGGTTGAGGTGTCTTGTTCAGGAAGGCCATTAATACTCCAAGATTAAAAACTATTTTCTTACATTTTCTTCCAAAAGTTTTATATTTTAGTTTTCACACATAAACCTCTGGGTTTTATATATTTGAACAGAGTGTGAGGTAGAGATCTCATTTTATTTTCTTCAAAGTGATGGCCGCTACATTGCTTCAGTGTCATTTAATTCAGCCTTTCCAATGGGTCCAAATCATTTAATACCAGGGATCCCAAATCCCCGAGGTCAGGAACAACTGCCCAGGATAGCTTCATCCCACAAGTCCATCTCCTGCGTGCTGGCTTTGCCAGGTCGCTTCTTCTCTTTCGGGGACCTTCTTCTGTCCTTTGTGGCGTCCCCGCCTTGGTTGCTGTTGTTTCTGTGTCTGGGCCCCTCTGTGCTGAGTGGCTCCACCTCGGCCCTTCTGCTGTCTCTGTGGGAATCTCCATCACAGCGGTGCTTCCTATTCCACCCGGCCTGCTCCTGGTCGTCCTGTCCCTCTCCTGCCCCTTCCCAGGACCTCCTCTTCCAGCCTGGGGCTGCATCTGCTACCTGCCTCAGGCTGGTGCCCTCCTCCCTGGGCCGGCTGTCAGCCTCTCCTTGCACCAGTGGGCTTGAGAGCCAAGGGTTTCTGAAGAAGTGGTCACGTGGTTTCTGACAAGGGTGGAGAGATTCTGGTCGTTGTCTGGATTGATGAGCTTTGGACCATGGGGGTAACCAGCTTCCCACGGTCCTCAGCCTTTTGTAGGGACTGGGGTGTTTGTGGGACCCTCTGAGAAGTAGTCCCTGCTCCGGTGATAGAGGCTGGGATGCAGTGTGGCCCTGGGCTCGGTATGCAGAATCTTCTGTCACCTTTCTAAAGCAAACCTCTGGCTGTAATCCTCTGGCTTTCTGCTTTCTAATGTAATCCTCGAGCTCATGTTGAAAAGAGTCATAAGGCCCAGAATTTTCCATTATATTGACTATGGATGAATCTCTGCTGGGAAGATGGAGGAAAAAATCTGTTAAATGTGTTCTTTGACTATGTTTTCTATGTCCTTGAAAAGATCAGGCTATCAAACATCTCAGAGAATTACATAATGTTCACAAACAAAAATACCATGTAGCCATTGATGTTGAAAATGTGTTTCTGACACAGACTAAGAAATCAAAAAATATACCAGACTAAGAAAATAAGTCTTAAAGCATTATAAATTTGAGGATCTAGAAATATATAATTAATGTAAAATGTACCAGTGTTTTTGCCTGGGTTTGGAGATTATGAATAATTTTAGTCTGTTTTAGTTAATTGTACTTGGGATTTTTTTTCTGCCATAAGTACTCTATTACTTGTGTAATAAAAATAAGAAAATCAAGTCAGTTGAAGAAAATAAAAAACATCAAACAACTAAATTAAACTAAAATCACTAATAGGATCACGGGAAGATGGCGGCGTGAGTAGTTCAGAGGAAATCTCCTCCCCAAAACATATATATTTATGAAAATACAATAAATACAACTATTCCTAAAAGAGACACCAGTGGGTGCAGTACAACAGCCAGGATACATCTACATCTGTGAGAACTCAACATCACACGAAGGGGGTAAGATGCAAGCCGCAGCCAGGCGGGACCCGAATGCTCCCCCACCCCAAAATCTGGTGGGAAAAAAGGAGTCAGAACGGGGAGGGAGTGAGAGCCCAGGACTGCTAAACAACCAGCTCTAGAAATCCGCACCCAGAACGCAGACACAAGGTGCATGGGGTGCTGGATATTAGAGAAAAGGAAAAGCAAAACCCGTGGGCAGGTCCCCGCAACCAGCACCCCTGAAACAAAAGAAAAGTGAGTGCTTTCTGCAAGTCTTAAAAAGACAGGGACCCCATAGCTGGACAAAGTGGTCCCGGCACACTTAGCCAGCAGCTGGGAATCCCGGGGAACCTTAGGCGCCCTAAACCCCAGGGAGGCAGCGCAGCTCTGAAGCCCCTCACGGCACTAAGAAGCCTGCTAGTCGTTCCTCCACTGGCGCGGACCCTGACACACCGGCCCAGTAGTGGGAGAGTGGCAGCGTGTGCCAGGGGCAGCAGCGCCAGAAGGGACTGGGAGCAGATCACGTGCACCAACAGCGCCAGAGGGAACCAGGAGAGGCTTGTGTGAGCCCGCAGTGGTGGCGACCGAACAGCCCGGGTGCGGCTCGCGCATACCAGCGGCAGTGGAACCAGAGGACCCCGGTAGAGGCCCATGCAGGAGAGCTCCGCATGCACCTGCAGTGGAGCCAGAGGGAGCAGGCGCACTCCCAGCAGCCAACCAGAATCCCAGCCCAATGCACAGCCCCCGGGCCAGACCCAAAGGCCATTGCTGGCACAAGGCTGCCTGGCAGGGGCACCACTATTACGGAGGAGCACACCTGTCGTGCCTGCCACTCCCCGCAGGGCTCCACGCTGCTCTGATGGGGACCCCGCCCACAGCAATTTAGGGGATTAACCCGGTGGCTGCTCCAAGAGTGTGGGTAACTGACACAGGCAGCAGAGAAGGGCAAGGCATCCAGCAAGCAGGAAAGGACTTTTTTCTCCCAGCTGACACACCCGCAACCTACCTACAGCCACCGCTATCACCATGAAAAGGCAAAAAAATTTAGTCCAGTCCAAGATAGTTCAGACAACACCTGAGAGAGGATCTTCAGAGACAGACCTAACCAGTCTCCCTGAAAAATAATTCAAAATAAAAATCATAAACATGCTGACAGAGCTGCAGAGAAATATGCAAGAGCTAAGGGATGAAGTCTGGAGGGAGATTACAGATGTTTGGAGGGAGATTACAGAAGTGAAACAAACTCTGGAAGGATTTATAAGCAGAATGAATAAGATGCAAGAGGCCATTGATGGAAT